CGGGCGTGCCGGCCGGTGCGGTGGGGGGCCGGCCCCGCCGACGGAGCTGCTTGGGCGCGTAGGGCGGCTTTGTCTCGAGGTGCGTTTCAGCTCCTCGTCGCGCTGCACCCTGAATTCTGACGCAGACACACAAGTAGCACACACTGTGGACGTGAGAAATGGTTTTACCAGGACAGGGGGCGGCGGAGGGGAGCTCAGCACCTAGACGCCGGCTGTCCTTCCAGGGGTGCTTCTGGGATCCCGCGTGGGGAGAGCGGGGGGGACAGAGCTGCGCTTTGGGGAGAGGAGGCCCGGGACGCTCCTCCTGTGCCCTCCTGCCCCGCCCCGCCCCCTCTGCGGAGCGCTGGTCACCTTTGTCGGGCTGCTGAGTCGTCAGGTTGGAGTGACTCGGACAAAGCCGAGGTCTGCGGCGCTCCCCGCCAAGCTCTGGTGGGACCTGGCTTGAGAAGGTCCAGGAGACCACCGAGAAACACCATTTTGATTTTTTCTTTTGGGTGGGAACATAAGTTAATATTCAGAATTTTCAGGTGGGAGTTAAAGCTCCGGACTTATAAAAATTATTGTGACCAGTTTGTTGTGCCTCATTGCAGCTCCAGGGATTATTGTGTTTTAACTGGTTGCAGCTATAAAAAGTTATTAGAAATCTGTTTGCAAACAATTCCGTCCCAGAAACTTTCAAAATTAAGGTATTGGGTTTCAAGGAGTTTTACGTTTTTTGTAGGGTAATACATTACTGTTATTAATTGTTACTGTTGTTTATACAGTGTGTACCGCATCTGCTGTGTGCTTCTAGCTGCCTTCCTCGTAAGGGTGGTGAGCTTGTATTACTCCATCCAGATAAAAAAATTGCTATTCTATACAAGGTACCGTGCCAGCTTGACCTTATAACTTACTTGATATTTGAGAGCTTAACTTTATGAGGTACCTGGCCGAGATATAGGGGAACCTGTGGATTTGTTAACTCCTAGATTGAGACAGGAGGATCGTAAATTTGAGCCCAGCCTGGGCCACTTACGCTGCCTGAAGTACACTGGTTTGAAGTCACAGAGCCAATTAGAGACAGTCACTGTTCGGAGAGAAAAACCTGGGTGATAGAGCAGTCATTGCTGATGTGCTGTGTGGATTGCAGGTTTGCTTTGGATGATCTGGAGTAAGGCAGGCCCGATTTTCTGCTAGGTGATGGGAACACGAGTTCTCCGTCTGAGTCCTAGACTACTTATCTGTAGGAAAGGGTGACGGCGCATCCACAGGAGTAGTAGTTCAGGCTCCATTTCCTGTCCCCGTGGCTTCAGGCTCTCCACTGTCTTCACGTGGAGTCATTGGGGCATTTTTGGCGTAACCCACGGCATGTGTTCTTCCCTAGGATGAATGAAATGAACCTGAGCCCGGTGGGGATGGAGCAGCTGACCTCCTCCTCTGTGAGCAGCGCCTTGCCGGTCTCGGGAGGTCACCTGGGCTTGGCTGCCTCGCCCACACACAGCGCCATCCCTGCCCCAGGTAAGCGAAGGGGAGAGCATTGTTCTGCGGCCCACTGCATTGTGAGTCTGAGAGGAGCAGGGGCCCAGCAGTGCGTGTGTGCTGCACAGGGGAAGACGTCTGTGTGCTTTCCTGAGCCCTGGGGGGCAGCAGCAGCATTTCTCCCATCATCTCTGGGCTTGGGGGCCTTTTGTGCAGAGCTCTGATGGCCACTGCATTTTATTCAGGCTTGTGCTTTCATTGGGTCCACGTGGGCACCAAGGCCCTGGGTTAGTGAAAGAGAATAATCACACTTGCTCTCTGATGCCCAGAAAGCATAGGAAATTGGGGTTTGTTTTCTACTAGATTTGAAATTGAAAATCCGGAGCTCTGGGAAAGATGGCACTCAGGGAGAAGAGTCTGTGCCGCCCTTCGCTGTGCTTTTAAAACCTTTTTTCCTCTCTGATTTTCTTTGTCTATTAAAGTGACAAAGGACTGAGTAAGGTATTGATTCTTAAGAATCTATGAAAGGCATGGTGGTGCACGCCTGTAATCCCAGCACTCGGGAGGATGAGGCAGGAGGATTGCCATGAGTTTGAGGCCAGCCTGGAGTACATAGTGAGTTCAAGGCCAGCCTAACTAGACAGTGAGACCCTGTCTCAAAAAAAGTCTGTGACCTTTTCATGTATCAGATCTTATCAAAATAGGAGTTATATTTGGGAGTACCCTAAATAAATGTATAAGTTGTTTAAATGGTTCTCTATAGAGAATTGGCTGCTTTATTAGTAAAATGCAGCAATTGAGTGAGATTCATCAAAACTAAGATCCCATTACATTCCTCTTGTAAAGTGTCCACCGGGAAATACAAAAAAGTATGAGTTGTTAGCCATCCGTTGGTCTCCTAGGCAGGCATTCCTTTTAGTGGACTCTTGTTAAGGAAGAAAGGTGTATTAAAAATGTTGCCTGTGGCAAAAATACACAATCAGCACTGCCCAAGTTGGTGCACGTTCACTGTGACACTCAGCTGTGGGAAGAGTCCTTTCACCTCCTTGCAAATAGTTCATTCCGCTTTTGGTTCTTTGTGGACGGTGTAGCACAGTGTATGTGGGAGAGACTGTATGGAAATGTGTATGTGCAGTTCTACACTTTAAGTTAGACTGCTTCCCAAGTAGAAGCATATCTATGAGGTTTTTACACAGTGAAACATTCTTACTATATAGAGTGGAAAATATCAAATAAAAACCAAAAGAAATCCAGACTACCACAGACCACCCATGTTGACAATTCATATTTCTTTCCATTTTTGTTCTGTGTATAGTTTTTCTTACATGTTATTTAAAATAGGGTTTTTAGTTGTAAATTAAATGTTGTGGTGCTTAAAAACAATCCAGACAACCGGTGGGTCAGGCTGGCATCGTAAACTAACTTGAGCACTTGTGTTGGGAGCAGGGCTCTTTGGCCCTATAGCGGATGCTACACCTTGTCTCTCCAGGGATGACGAGGGCCACTGAGGTGAGATTGTTACTTACGTGAGAAAACCTTTCTAAGAAGTTCAACCTGTAGCTTCAGAGAAAAATTTTAAGTACTTACTTTCTTTTAATTAAAAAACTTTTTTTTTGTAGGTCTGCCAGTGGCGATTCCCAACCTGGGTCCATCCCTGAGCTCCCTGCCTTCTGCTTTGTCTCTGATGCTTCCAATGGGAATTGGGGACCGTGGGGTGATGTGTGGGTTACCTGAGAGAAACTACACCCTCCCTCCACCACCTTACCCTCACCTGGAGAGCAGCTATTTCAGAACCATCCTCCCTGGTAAGGTTCAGAATAGAGCCACCTTTTAGCCCCGGTTCTCGACCTGAGGATCACTTTTCTTGTCTTTGTTCTTGTCACATACTAACCCTAGGTGGGAGATTGTGTATGTTTATGTATGCTCCTCTGCAGTGCACGCGTGCTGCCCCCTTAGTACCATAGTTAAGCTCAGTTCACTGCTTGTACCCAGGGTTTCTGTCCTCCAGCATTCCTTGGCCCAGGGTTTCTAATTGTGCAGTGAACTCTTACAGCCATGTGTCCTACTGCATTGTCACTGTTTTTTGAATTTCACTGAATTTTGTTTTGTTATAAAAGTATATGCTTGGCTGGGGATATAGCTCAGTGGCACAAGCGCCTACCTGGCAAGTGCAAGGTCCTGACTTGGATTCCCGGTACAAAAAAAAAAGTATATGCTCACTTGTGAAAACAGCAAATAGGGAGAGACAAGAACTACTCCATGTCCCCTCAACCATCTTTTGGTGTGTTTTCTTTTTGTTTTTTGGCATGCAGATGTTTTACTGTTTTTTCACAATTAAGAACATTTTCTGTATAATTTTTACTTTTTCACTTAATATTTTCCCCTGCTGCTGTAGTTATTTTCATAATTGTCTTTTTAATGGCTCATTACATTTTTTTTTTTTTGGTATCAGGAATCAAACTCAGGACCTTGTGCTTGCCAGACAGGCACTTGTGCCACTGACCTATATCCCCAGCCCAATGGCTCACTACATTCTGTTGAATGGATATTTGATGGATTATCATCAGTCTTTATTGTTGGACAGTGTAGTTTTTCCAGGCTTTTATTACTGATGTGACTGTTCGTGTGTGTAATACTTACAAAAATACGGTTAGAAAGATTGCTGTAAGTAGAATTTCATGCAAGAAGACACAAACATTTTTGTTTAATATACATCCCAAAGAGCTTTTAGTAATTTATACTCACACTACTAGTGTATCAAGTAACATTTGCCACATCCTTATAGCACAGATCTAAACTTTAAAAAATTTTTTTGAGGCAGAGTCTTCCTATTTAGTCCAAGCTGGCCTTGAACTCAGTCTTCTTCCTCAGTCTCCCACGTGCTGGGATTATAGGCGTAAAGCGGCACATCTGGCAACAAGTTTAAGAAATGTTTTGAGTTGAGTGTGGCACAGAGGTAGGGTGCTTGGGTTGAGGGTGCAGCTCAGTGGTACAAAACTGCTTAGAGATACAATGCATGCCTAGCGTGCTTGAGGCCCTTGGCTGGACGCCCCCTTTTGTTATTTCTGGTTTTTTTTTTTTGGTTTTGGTTTTTTTCCCCATACCAGGAATCGAACTCATGACCTTGCACTTGCCAGGCAGGTGCTGTGCCGCTGAGCTAAATCCCCAGCCCCCTTTGTTATTTCTTACTGAGCAAAGTTTAGGGTCTTAGGACTCAGAAATTGCAATCATGTAAATATTAAAGGCAGCATTTTAATGATTTGTTTTAATCATTTTCAAAGGCATCTACATTTTTTTAGGATTTGAATTTCACAGGAAAAATTCAAATGTGTGCATAGGTTACTATTTGTATAGATGCTCATTGAAATAAAGAAGTAGATTATTTTAACATTTATATTTGTAAGGAAAACATCTTCTAGTTCTTTTTTTTTTTTTTCCTTTTTTAATGGCAGCAAAACCGCATTTATTAAAGGTGGGGAAAGAAAAGCAGAAGGATAGGGGAAAAATGGGCTCTGAAAGGTGAGTTTGGGGTGAGTAAAAAGGGAGGCAAAATAAAAACAAAAATACACTCTAGAGCAGTGGTAGCAAGTGTGTCACGTGCATGCCACTGCAGGCTGTATCACTGAAAGCTCTCGAAGGTTCACCATTGCGGGCTTAGAGTGTAGTGGGAGTAGCGTGAGGGGGCACAATAGCCCACTTGAAGTTTTTGTATTCATCATTATACTAAACAGTCTCTGATGTCTCATATTTTCTTTTCTCAGGCATTTTATCCTATTTAGCGGACAGGCCGCCTCCTCAGTATATCCACCCCAACTCTATAAATGTCGATGGCAATGCGGCGTTATCTATCACCAATAATTCTTCAGCGCTAGATCCCTATCAGTCTAGTGGAAATGTTGGGTTGGAACCAGGTATTGTCTCAATAGACTCTCGTTCTGTGAACACACATGGTGCCCAAAGTCTACATCCCAGTGATGGCCATGAGGTGGCCTTGGACACCACGATCACCATGGAGAACGTGTCCAGGGTCACCAGCCCACTCTCCACTGATGGGATGACAGAGGAGCTCACGATGGACGGCGTTGCAGGCGAGCACTCCCAAATCCCAAATGGCTCCCGAAATCACGAACCGCTCTCTGTGGATTCTGTGAACAGCAACCTTGCCACAGACACCGTGGGGCATGGTGGTGTTATCCCCATTCATGGCAACGGCCTGGAGCTCCCCGTAGTCATGGAGACAGACCACATTGCCAGTCGGGTGAGCGGGATGCCCGACAGTGCCCTCAGTGACTCCATCCACACCGTGGCCATGAGCACCAACTCTGTCAGTGTGGCCCTCTCTACCTCACACAACCTCGCCTCCCTAGAGTCGGTTTCCCTCCACGAAGTTGGCCTCAGCCTTGAGCCTGTGGCTGTCTCCTCCATCACTCAAGAGGTTGCTATGGGGACAGGTCACGTGGACGTGTCTTCAGACAGTCTCTCTTTTGTACCGCCTTCGCTGCAAATGGAAGACTCCAACTCAAACAAGGAGAACATGGCAACCTTGTTCACAATTTGTGAGTGTGCTTCGCTTTACTCTTTTGGAAGTATTGGTTGAAAAAGGCATCATCTCTGACAGGGTTAGTCACAAGGCCTGGCATAGATTAAGGAAGTATGGCAAGTTGATTTGGAATGCTTCTTTGCATGTGTATTGTTCTTTTATTAATGCGGTGCCTTGTCCTCAAGGAAGCCAGATGATATACATAGATTTCATTGGTTCCTACAGTATCCCCCTGAAAAAAAGTCATTTTTTATTTTATATTGATTTTGCCCAAATATATTCAGGTTATTTCCCAAGGTTTCCCAAGTAGAGACTTACAGGAGTGAATGTGAATAATGTGAACCTATGTCATACGCCTTGTGTGCTTTCAGTGTAAAGCCAGAAGAAAAAACAGATCCACTTTCACTTTTAAAACTCCATGGAAAACACAGGTGAATATAGATGTAGGGTTTGTTTTTGTTTTTTGCTCAGACTGCATATAAATTACCAAGGTTGGGCATATAAAAGTTCTTTTTACTGGGCAGCAACAAAAAGCAATGTAAAAATGGTTGATTTGGTGTCACTGCAGGGGTCATTCCTACTTACAATCTGCCAGCCCCTGTGCCAGCCTGGAGCAGTCTGCAGAGACAGCCTGGGCCTGTCGGGAAGCACAGGCAGGTCCGCAAGCTTCACGCCAGAGTGGAGGCGCGGAGCTGGGGCTGAGCTCACAGAGGCACAGTGTGCAGAAGGGGAGGGCTCAGGGAAGACTCGGTCAGCGCAGGCCTTCGGGATGGAGGAAGTAAGCATCGGAGCGTCAGGGAGACAGGTGTTGGCACCTGCAGGTGCCTAGCACTAAGTCACGCGTGGGTTAGGGTTGCTGACACAGGCGAGGAGTTGCGTGGGGAGAAGGAGGAGCGGGAACGCCAGGGTCTCCTAGGGCCAGTCCCGCGCGCGCACGGGCTTTGTGGAGTTAGAGCTGGGGTGTGTTTCTGCTGCTGTGTGAGCAGTCAGGCTTCAGACACAGGTGTGCCAAGGAGGTGATGCGTAATTTAGGTAAAAGGTGCTGACTTTCCAGCCTGGAGTAGAGCTGATTGGGATGAACAAAGGACAGGACCTTTACGGAGAATGTAGGAGAGCCTGTGGGCTGCGTAAAGGCGGGGTGTGGTGAGGCGGTTAAGGAGGAAAACTGGACTTGTGGGTTAAAAGTGGAGATCAGATGGTCATGTTTTTGGAGTGATAGTGACTTGAGTTTACACATGCTGATTTCAGAGTCTGTGGGATGCCTGACAAAAGCCTGGGCTGTCTGACTGGAAATTTGCGGGGCTCATCAACATGACCATGTTGATCATGGCCAGGGCAGTGGAGTGAACCATCTGGTCAGTGCAGCAGAGGAAGGGCTTCATAGTAAACTGCACAGGTCAGAGATGGTGGACACCCAAGACAGTGTGGTGCCGCAGAAGTCAGCAAGGGACCCTCTGTGTCAGCCTTCTGGTCTCAAGTCTGCTTTTTCAGTGTTTCTATGAAAAAATTTAATTCATGTAAGGCCTACTAGTTGAGATACAATTTACATACGTACTCAGAAGTGTACAGTTTAGTGGTTTTCAGTATATTCACAAATTCTGCAACCATCACCACTGTTCTGAAACATTTTAATGGAACCTCATGTTCATTAGCATTCCCTCATTCCCACTCTGCACCCATTCTTAGGCAGCCACTAATCAACTCTAGCTATGGATTTGCCCTTTGTGAACATTTCACATAAGTGGAATCATATACTATATGGCCTTCTCTGACAGGTCATCCGTGGTATAACAAGTATCAGCGTTTCCTTTTATCTTTGTAGCCAAATAATTACTCCATAACAAGAATATGTTGTACTTTGCCTGCCCATTTATCAGTTGTAACACATTTTGGTGGCTTCTACTTTTTTGGCTGCTGTGAGTAAACCTTTTTTTTTTTCTTGATCTTTCTTTTTTGAGACAGAGTCTCACTATGCAGTTCAGGCTGGCCTTAAGCTCACTTTGTAACCCAGGCTGATCTCGAACTTGCAACGATCCTCCTGCCTCAGCCTCCCGAGTGCTGGGATTACAGGCATGGGCCACCATGTCCAGCTAGTAAATCTTAAGTGAGCATTGATGTACAAGTTTTTGTATGAGCACCTGTTGCCTTTACTTCTCATGGTACATCTCCAGGAGTTGACTTACGCTTGTTAACTTTTTATAAGTTCACGCTGAGAATGCAGCCCTTAGCTAGAGAGCTTGTGCAGTGCCTGGGTTCAGGCCCTAGCACCACAGAATTTTTTTTGACACGTAGCAATTGTACACATTTGTGGAGGACAGTGCGTACGTCTTTTTGGGAGACTGGCAGACTCTCCCAAGCCGGAGGGCCATTTTACATTCCTAGCAGTCTGTGGTGATTCCAGTTTCTCCACATCTTTGCTGACATTTAATTTTTTTCTGTTTCAATTGTAGCCATGTCAGGGGGTGTGAAGTAGCAACTCCTTGTGATTTCATTTGCAGTCTTCTGAGGTTATGTTAGAAATCTTCCCTGTATTTAAGGGCTGTTTGTGTATCTTTGAGGAAGCCCCTGAGCTCTTTTGTACAGATATGGGAAGTTTGAGCCCAGTCGCTGAGTAACAGGAATTCTTTCCTTCACAAAGAAAGTGGAAGGAATAGAGCAAAAGATTATTGGAGGTCATGAGTTCCATCCCCAGTACCGGAAAAAAAACAAAAAAAAAACAAAACAAAACAACAAAAAAAAGATTATTGGAGGACACTCATAAGCTTGTAAAAGTGAGGTTGTAAGAATAGCGAATGAACTATGTGAAGACTGCTCCTTCTCTAACAGTGTAGTATCAACAGTAAGCAAGTATCAACAAGAATGTGATTCAGGCTGGGTGTGGTGAAGCACGCCTGTAATCCCAGCACTTGGGAGGCTGAGGCAGGAGGGTTGCTATGAGTTCAAGGCCAAACTGGACTATTTAGCAAGATCCTATCTCAAAAAAAAAAAACAAAAAAAGGGATTCAGCATGTGCTCCAAAGGGGCAGGTCTCAAAATTTTTATCTCCAGAATGTGTCATCAAAAGCAGGTCGACCTTTTCTTTGTAGGGGATTAAAAGAGCACAGTGATATGCTCATTCTGACTCCACTGTCCTATAATGTCACCAGTATTTCTCTTCTGCACAACTATTACGTCTCAACACAGGTTCCTCTTGTAGTTCAGAGTGTGCTCTTTCGTACTTTAGGGTACATACAAGGGATGGTCAGTGTGTGGTTTAAGTTAAAACATTCACAAAGTGAAAGAAACATCGCATGAATGACCTTCACAGCACTCCTTCCTGCATCATTCTGCCACTTTCTGAAGCAGATATGGCCTCTTCTTTTGTGAGTGTCTTTGCAAGATGTGATCAAAAATATGGTGACAGCAGTTGCCAAGTGCCACCCACCTGAAAGGCTCTTAAAAACGTCACAGTGGGTCTTTAACCACGTTATTCACCAGATCTGGCACTGTGTGACTGCCAGCTCTTCCCCGAAGTCAAGTTGAACTTGAACCGTAAACGTTTTAAATTGATTCAGAATATTAAGGCAGCCGTGTACAACTAAAGACACTCAGGAAAGAGGACTTCCAAAACTGCTTCAGAAAGTGGCAGGAATGATAAGTGTGTTTGAAGCAAAGGGGAGGATTCTGAGGGGGATGCGTGGCAGTGTGTCTTTCATGATAATAAAAGTTCTTTAAAAAAACATTCACTGTATTTTTCAATCACATTGTATATCTAAAAGTATTGCTTGTGTACTTAATCCAGTACTATACTAGTTGGTTGAAGTAGCATCATGTCATTTTTAAAACTTTGTAATTCTTCTGTGTGGCAGGGATCCAAACGAGAGTCTTACTCATGCTAAGCAGATGCTGTACTACTGAGCTACATTCTCAGCCTCTCATGTTTTGTGATCATTCTTGAATGTACTGAACAGGAAATGTGTCCTGTTGAATCTATCACATTGTATCTTACTGAAGTCTGATGATCGTATCTTACTGAAGTCTGGCGAGTTGTAGAAGTATATATGTTTCAGTGTTAGAAAATGGTTCTTTGATCAGAACTTTTCTAATAGAACCCTGCTTCTTACGTTTTAATAAGTAGCATCTAAATAAAAAACCAGGTGGTAATTGAGCCTATGTGAAGTACACCCATTTGTGTCCGTTATATCTGCTGTCTTCAGGGTGCACGCTGTGTGACCGGGCCTACCCCTCTGACTGCCCCGACCATGGACCGGTGACTTTTGTTCCTGATTCTCCAATAGAGAGTAGAGCGAGGCTCTCTCTCCCGAAGCAGCTTGTTCTTCGTCAGTCAGTCGTGGGCGCAGACATCGGTAAGAATCTTGGAACCGTAAAACCCCATACCCAAGTCTCTCCTGCCTTTGTAGGGTAGAGTTGTAAAAGTGGATATATATAATTGAGCGATTATTTAATTGATCCAGAAGTCAATTTATGGCTTAAGATTTGTGCTTTAGGGAATATCTGTTTTGTCTGGTGGTGATAGTAATAAATCAAATTGAAAACTTTATTGGGAAACCTCTGCCTTCTTAGAATCAGAATTGAAAGGAAAGAGTCATGGTCCGAGCCTTTGAAGACTTGGCTTTTATTCTCATCTCCGTTATCCGCTAGCAGTTATCCTAACAACACATTCTTTGGAATTCAGTTTCTTTTACTAAAACTTGGAAAATGCACCATTGATAATTGTGTGGCACCAAAGCCATTTAGATCAAATCTTTGTACATTGTCTAGTTCTTAGGAAAGCTGAATAAGGATTGTAAACTACCAGAGCATCTTTACCAGTGTTTAAATTTAATACGGCTCCTGAGTGACCCTCGTCATTTCTTTGAACATGTAACACTTGGGTTTATTATTCTTTCAGTTGCAGCTTTGGGCATGAGTCCCTAAAACAGCTTAGATAATACAGAGCAGAGCTTTAAACATGAAAGGTTTTGGGCATTAGTTTTACTTTGTAACACTTGGCTTGTATTTTTATAACAGGGCAACGTTTTCAGTTCCTCATGCACTAAGGCATTTTTAGGGACATGGTCAGGTTCCTCACATGTACAGCAAGGCAGGAATTTCTGATGCTGCTTCTTGCTTTGCCTTTCTCCTGAGCTGCATTTAATCTCTTCCTGGCGTTTTATACATCAAGCCAGGACCCCTAGCCTTAGCCACCTCTCGGCAGTAGTTCTTAGGCTCGCAGTAAGTGAGGTTCTCTGTCCTGTGGGTTGCTCATCACGATGTGTGCGCTCTCCGTCTGCTGACAGGGGTGTGGACTGGAGAGACCATTCCTGTGCGGACTTGCTTTGGGCCTCTGATTGGTCAGCAGAGTCACTCCATGGAGGTGGCTGAGTGGACAGACAAGGCCGTTAACCACATCTGGAAGGTCAGTGGTGATGAAACTTCTCTGGTTTTTTGGCTGCTTTTATTATGATGTGGTAGTTTAGTGCCAGAAAGTCAGATTCTGCCAGAACTGATCCAGTGCTGTTCACCTGTGAGCCACTTTGCTGAATGACACAGCTTCTCGTGACTCTTCATAGCTAGTTATACCCCAGCGATGGGACAAGTAGTGCAAAACTGTTCTAGTCTCCATTTTGTGAGATCATCTGATGGTTTTAATCATTTTTATGCATTTTAATTTCCACTGGCTGTTGAGGCTATAGACTATTTTTATGATAAAAATTTTAGTTTTAATTAAAACCTTACTAAATATTTTGCTTTGGAAACAATTCTAGAATTAGAAACTAAAATTATTTTTCTAGTTTTTGAATGTGAATGCAAGGTTTTAGCATAAACTGTGATTCCTGTACCATGCATCCATAGGTCCTCAGGGACTGGGATTGAAGTGGGGAGACAGTGATACGGTGATTGGAAAGATGAGGTGCCACTGTCACTGGGGACCTCGGTTGTGGCCTCCCAGGTAGAACACAGCAGTGCTGGGCTCGGCTGGAAGAATGATGAGGACTGGTGCTCCGTCCTTGGCAGAAAGCCAGTCACGCAGACTGGGCTTCGTCTTCTCTAGGGACAAAAAAGACAGATCCAGAGCCAGGTCCTCTGTGTGCAGATGGATGCTAGAGGCCTCTGATGGTCTTTACTGTGTGCTGGGACCAGAGGGCAGGAAAGGGTAAGCACCACAGCAGGCTGCCATGGATCCTCACAGAGACAGCGGCGCTGGCCCTGCTCCAGACGTGAGCGGGGCAGGACTGCGGGCCGGAGCTCAGGGCAGCTCTCCGCCACAGCTCGTTCATTGGAGATGTGTTTACACTCCTTGTAGATCTATCACAGTGGCGTCCTAGAGTTCTGCATCATCACGACGGACGAAAACGAATGCAACTGGATGATGTTTGTGCGCAAAGCCAGGTAAGGCAGGCTTTAGATGAAGGAAATTCCCTAGGAAGTGCTCAGGAGACGGGGATGAGCTGCAGACTCCCAGTCGCACGATGCCTGCGCATACTGAAAGCCTAAGTTGCAGCATCTTCGTGCAGGTAGCGGCTGACCGCTAGGGGTGTAAATTGGTGTGCGTGTAATTGTCCTTTTCTGCGTGAATGGTTTATTCAGCTTACCAATGCAAGAGGAATGCTAGTCACCCCTGAATTTGGGAGTGGGTGCTGTCTCCTGTTGGCTTTTGTTCAGTTCTTCAGGCTGTCACTATAGTTAATTCTTATTAGCTAGCAGTCTCTTGTTTTTGTCAGAATGTTTTTTTTTTTCTTCCAGTACCAGGAACAGAATGTTTTTTTAGATGTCATTGTATTTATTTTTTTTGGTCCTAGTGTTCTGACTAGAACTGATTATTAAGGGTAATCAACTAATTACTAAAGTGATAATTGTGCTTCTCAGCTGGGCATGGTGGCACATGCCTGTAATCCCTGCATTCTGGGGGGCTGAGGCAAGAGGACCGCAACTTTGAGCCCTGTCTCGGCATCTTAGTGAATTTGCCGATCCTGTCACAGAATTTAAAAGGGCTGGCATGTGGGTCACTGGGTTCAATGCCCAGTACTGATAAAAAATCTGTTTCTCTGTAAGTCCCTCTTAAATAGGGAGGGTAGGTCATTTTCAAAATGGTTCTATCTAAGCTTTCACGTCGAATTTTGCTACAGAGAATACCATACGTTTAAGTGTACATTTCAAAATGAGGTGCAGTGTTGGTGGTATAGTAGTGAGCAAAGCTGCCTTCCAAAATGAGTCTGCTTAAGGGGCTGGGGATGTAGCTCAGTGGTAGAGCACCTGCTTAGCGTGCACTCACAGGGACAAAAATGGCCTGCTTCACTAGGTGTGACACACAGCTGTGGTCCCACCTATTCAGGGTGTCTGTGCACAAGGGTCACTGGAGTCCAGAATTGGGGGCTGGCCCTAGCAAAATCAGACCCTGTCTCTTCAAAAAAAAAAATAAAATAAAAAAGTTAATATGCTTAATCGAGTCACTGTGCTAACTTAGGAATCGGGAAGAACAGAATTTGGTGGCTTATCCCCATGATGGCAAAATCTATTTCTGCACCTCCCAAGACATCCCTCCTGAAAACGAGCTGCTTTTCTATTATAGTCGGGACTATGCTCAGCAGATGGGTGAGTTTGTAAGACTTGTTATGAATCTGGTCTAAAATGCCCAAGGGCCAGAGATAGTTTGGTAATGATTTTCATGGCAACTGAAGTTGCCTACTTTTGTGTGTATGAAAAAAAGCTTTACTTCTGTACTTGAGATACCAGAATCTGTGAGGTTCTTCACAAGCTGAATGTTAGTAACTAGGTGGCATTCCAATAAAATTGGCTTTTGTGGTGTGACTTGGACTTGTTAGAAGCTTTAAGCTTCTGAGGCTACTTTCTGAGCTGTCAGTACTGAGGTCAATGTTCGTGGAGGTCCGCAGAATCCTGTAATTTGATTTAATGTGTGTAAGCTTTCTTTTTTCACTGTCCTGTTGACAAGTGATGTTCAAGAGGGTGAGCTGTAATATCTGGTGTTTTCTCCAGAAATGAGACATTATTAATCCACTATTTATCATGTATTTTATATGGGTCTGGTACATTATTTTGAATGGTGAAAGTGTAGTCTGGCACAAGACATTTTAATTTTATAGGAAGTGGGCAAGCTGGAAATTTTGGTAGAAAGGAAGATTGCCAGCAACAGTGATTATTGTCAAGGTCAAGTTTTGCGATCTCAATGCCAGGAGACCCTGAGTGACTTATTTTTAAAGGTGTTCCTGAGCACCCAGACGTGCACCTCTGCAACTGTGGGAAGGAATGTAGCTCCTACACAGAGCTCAAGGCCCATCTGACCAGCCACATCCACAGCCACCTCCCTGGCCAGGGCCAGGGTGGCCATGGGCCTGGCCACAGCAAGGAGAGGAAATGGAAGTGTTCCGTGTGCCCACAGGCCTTCATCTCCCCTTCCAAGCTGCATGTCCACTTCATGGGCCATATGGGGGTGAAGCCCCATAAGTGCGATTTCTGTAGCAAGGCTTTCAGTGACCCCAGCAACCTGCGGACCCACCTCAAGATACACACAGGTAAGCTGGGTCAGACTGTCAGAAGGGGGTGGGTGTGTGTGTGCGTCCAGAGGCAGGGGGACCATACACGAGCCCAGGGCTTTATACACGTTAGACAGGTACCCAGCCACCTCTGTGAGCTGCATCTCTAGTCCCAGAATGGTTTTTGTAACAGTGAGAAATTGCAGTCATAAAGGTTTTGCAGAAAGAAAATGCTGCAGGTAGAGTTGAGATGGCACGACAGGTGGCTGTCGGTGGGGTGGATGACCGAGTCCCCTCAGAGGCTGTGGTTCCTACTTACCAGGCCACTCCTCTCTTTAGTACCCCTCCCAGAGTCTGAGGTGCAGTCAGCGGTGCTGTCTGTGTGTTCGTACCTCAGCCTGGGCTCCCGCCGGAGCATGCCCCGGTCACTAGCTGGGGCCAGCTTCTCTTCGAGTGTTGGTCAGTGCATGCTGCCCATATCTAACTTTGAGTTTTCATTTCCTGAACTCCATGCAAAGCAACCTCTTTGCCGCACTTACTTTATTCATATACATTACAGAAGTTTGGCTTTTTTGGTTGGGTCATTTATTCTCCAAATCCGCAGAAGACATTCTTGTTCTCATTTGTTGTGTTTAGACTGAGTAGCTGCCTCAGAAAGTACGTGGTCTAAAGGCCAAAGTATTGACTCCGTAGCCTTCATGCAAAGCTTTGCCACCCTGACTTAGACGAACCTGACCATGCCTTCTTGGAGCGATTTTATTTCATTCTGGGTCATGAAGTCATCTTCCATATTTAACAGAAGGCCAAACAGTACAAAATGTAGTTTATAAAAGTGTGTGCATAGAGACAAGGGTTGGAGGTGATGAGTTGTTCTTTTAGGTCAAGCACTGAGATTACAGGTGATTCTTTCACCCAGGTTTGATGCCCTGTGTCATCTGTGCTAGCATTAGTCTGTGATACTCAGGTGGCGATCTGGGAGGAGTGAGCTTTAGTAGCTGTGGAACACAGACCTGGTGGCTCTGAGTAGTGCTTGGGTGCAGTTGGTTCTGCTTCAGCCTTCCTCTGCCACTCCCCCTCACGGGTGCTGCTGGTCTTTTTTTTTTTTTTTGGTTTTTCTCCGGTACCGGGAACCGAACTCACGACCTTGCGCTTGCCAGCAGGCGCTTTTGCCACTGAGCTAAATCCCCAGCCCCTATGCTGCTGGTCTTTGTTGATCTCCTTTGATGTGCCAAGCTTTTTTGTTGTTGTTACTGGGACTTGAACTCAGGACCTCTTGTTTGCCAAGCAGGCCCTTGAGCTATATTCCGGCCCATGCCTGCTGGTCTTGAGAGGGCTGAGAGGTTTATTGGCCATGTGCGGTTTTGGGCTCATTGCAGGCCAGAAGAACTACCGGTGCACTCTTTGTGACAAGTCCTTCACCCAGAAGGCACACCTGGAGTCTCACATGGTCATCCACACTGGGGAGAAGAACCTCAAGTGTGACTACTGCGACAAGCTGTTCATGCGGAGGCAGGACCTCAAGCAGCACGTGCTTATCCACACTCAGTAAGTCAGGCCTGCGGCGGTGGCCACCAGAGGGCTTGGTTTTATCCTGGGAGATTTCACTTTGCTGCTGTCTTTTCCTTATTTTTCATTTCTGCTGTGTATTTATTTTTACTCGTATTTTTAAAACATAGTCATTTACTAACAATTTAAAAGATTACTTCCGTGATGCCGAGCATAGTACTGGGAGGTGGACGTACTGAGAGGGAAGGCCCAGGCCTTGTCCTAAAGACCTCGCACCCAGGTAGAGACAGAGAAGGAAACACTGTCCGTACACGGAGCACTGGGGCCCGGCAAAGCCCCTGCTGATCCGAGCTGACCAGAGGGGAGGAGCAGGGCACTGGGCAGGTAGAGAGCGCAGGGAGGAAGGATGGGCTCCGGTGGGCGGGGCGGAGACAGGCGCAGAGGGAGCAGAGAGCAAGGTTCTTAGGGCGAGCAGTACGTGCATGGCGCGTGGGCCCAGTCAGCAGTGCTGTGTCCTGTGCTGTGCAGGCCCTGGGACCCCAAGGAAGGGGTGGTGCCGAGGGGTGAAGGTCACTCTGGCGGGTGGATAGAGTGGAGGGGCAGAGGAGGACACCCAGTGTTGAGACAAGTGTAGTAAGCGGTCCTGCCTACGGGCAAAGCAGCAGCACAGTGGGGTCCTGGCCTTGGGCGGTGTGGGGAGGGCAAGAGCCCTGCAGCCGCGGGGGAGGTGCCCCGTGAAGCCACTTGCTGAGAAGCTCCGAGGAGACCCCGCTCAGCCCCGCGCCTGTGTCTGCTGCCTCAGCCTGGGACACTGGGCAGCAGGCGTCTGCATCTGCTCTCCAGCACTCACGGGGAGCTCTTGCTCTCTCGTTGCTTCCTCCCCCCACCCCCTCCCCCCTCCTCTTCTCCCCCCTCCCCTCCCTCCCTTCCCCTTTCTTTTCTTTTCCTCCCTCCCTCCCTCTCATTCATTATCTTTATTATTTTTTCTGAGATAAGGGTCTTTCTGGTCTCCCTACGCTGCCTGTGAACCTAAGGTTGGTCTGCCTCAGCCTGAGTAACTGGGATTCTAGGTGTGTATCACCGTGCCCAGCTATAAAGGACTTTTCAAAACAAAGTCTTCTTAGTTTCAGTGTTTGTGTGAAATTTTAGAAAATCAGATAGCAGTTATCAAATACGTAGAGTTACGCAGCGTTACAGCTGACAGAGATTTGTGGGATCATCTGGTCACACTGATCCTACGTAGTGGGAAGGGACACAGCAAGAGGAGTGACCAGGAGCAAGCCAGGCCCAGAGCACTCACTGGAACCCAGTGTGTGGTGCCCTCACCTCAGTGGAGAAAACAAATTTTTCTGTGAGCCACTTGGGCTTCTGGGGGAGGCCGGCCGCAAGGGGGCAGGTCAGAGTCTAGGGTGGGTGTCTGCTTCCTGTAGGGACACAGATCCCTCCTGGATCCCTCCGCCGCTCCTGACTGCAGCTGCACCAACTCCCTCAAGGGCACCGCCTCCCACGGAGGGGCTTCCGAACGTGAGGCCTGTGATACCCTCTGTTGTGGCCCTGGAGCCCCGGGCAGAAGACAGCACTGCCCTGAGGGAGCCTTTCTGTTGGTCAGGGTGGGGGCTGGCCTTTTGTTTTTGGAAGCCCCCAGCGGCCAGTGCCAGTTGGGGTAGTGCTGCAGGCCCTTGGTGGGCCGGTGTCACACAGTGGGTACAGAGCTGTGGAGAAGGCCTTGAGTCAAGCTGCCTCAGCATCCAGCTTGACTTCTGTGCCTCCCTCTGGCACAACACATGAGAGTTTACTACCCCTTGAAGTCGTCAGCCTTTGATAGGGTCTGAGGTCCTTGCCCCCTTTGATCCTAGCAGCACCCGGCATTAACTTAGCCTCAGGAGGGAGCTCACTGTGCTCAGCTCTGACCATCCAGAGGCGGTGGGTGGGGCTCTGTCACCTGACTCAGGACACAGTGCGTGGCCCGGGCTGCCCTGGCAGGGGCCCGGAGAGATACAGGCACTGCGGGCGGCAGTGAGGGGGCGTCGAGCCTGTGGCGAGAAGCACTGCAGCTATGAGCATGCCCACTGGCAGTACGCGAGCCAGCACCAGGTGAGCTGTAGTCCCTATAAACGCTGCTTTTTGTCCCCGTAGAGAACGGCAGATCAAGTGTCCCAAGTGTGACAAGCTGTTCTTACGGACAAATCACCTGAAGAAGCATCTGAATTCACACGAAGGAAAACGCGATTACGTGTGCGAGAAGTGCACGAAGGCCTACCTGACCAAGTACCACCTCACCCGCCACCTGAAGACCTGCAAGGGGCCGGCGTCCGGCTCCTCCGCCCCGGAAGAGGATGAGGACGATGACTCCGAGGAGGAGGACCTGGCAGACCCCGTGGGGACGGAAGGCTGCAGGATGAGCGGCGCTCTGTACGCAGCAGATGAGCCCCTGTCCGTGCATAAGTGACAGTGTGAGCCAGCTGCCCCCTGCAGTGGGTTCATAGCAGACGGTTTCTGGTTTCCCTCCAGCCAGCTGTCACAACAGACGCGGAGTGGGGCGGCGCTTAGGAAAGAAGTCTCGGATAAAACACTATCAGACTGGGAGGAGAGAGCAGGCATCCCAGTTCTGGTGATGTGGGGGCGACTTTTCTGAGATTGGTTCTTTTATTTCCATGACAATCTGGGACATGCATTTGTGCCTGCGTCAAAGTGGCCTTCTGCCCAAACAAGTCAGATGTAGTTCAGATTCTTCATTGCTCCCTCCCCTGCCTGGGAGTCGGAGACATCCCACTCGTGCTCCCCCCCGTAGCCATCCTCGGAGCTGGCTGTTCGGTGCGTGCTGTGACTGAAGTGCACTGCTGGGGCCTGGAGCATAGCTGTGCATGTGCGTGCCACTGTCTGTCACTCGCAGGCTGACAGCTATTCCCCGCAACCTCTCCTGGTCACTGGGGAGTTAAGGGCGGATCTGACGTCACAGTTCCCAGCAGGGTCTCGGGGCAGGTACAGGAAGGAGCAGCTAGTCAGTGGGCACGGATGACGGGGGGAAGGAGGATGGTACCTGCAGGAGGACTGGCTTCAGTGGGAGCCAGGGTGCGATGCCTGGTTGTCATCCCTGCAGGTCTTGGCAGCCCTGGCTATCGCTGTGACTCTAGTAAAGCCCCTGCCACTGATAAGGGACCTCGAGTCTGGAGCACCCAGACTACTGCCCGGTTGTCTCCTGGAAGCGGGTGCTCGTGCCTGTGAGACAGCATGTGTGGGAAGGGAAGGAGCGCTCTTTATGTTTGCGTCCTTGGTGAAAAGGATCAAGCCACCGTTTACATGTTCCCAATTCCAAGCAATGCTGACCCCCCACACGGGTGCCCTGGAGGGCGGGCCTTGCCAGTGGGTTCTGGAGGGACTGTCCAGGTAAGCACGAGGGTGCGTGAGGGTCTGGAAGGTACAGGGGGCCGCGCACCGCTCGGGCGCGCACCCCAGGCTGTGCAGGAAGCAGATGCATGCAGCGCGCTCTCACTCAGAGGTTCCACCTCTGGGCTGGGGCAGAGGACGCTGGTGAAGGTTTTGCTGCTAATGTATTTATGGAATGAATGTATTCATTCAGATGTGTATTCCTCTAGGAAGGATGAAAATAAACATTTTTTGTAAGTACAGGACTTCATAATTATTACATGCTTAATCCCCCAGTATGTGGCAAGTCCAGTACTGGCTGACAAGTGTCCTCTTTGCAGAATCGTGCTCACAGGTGACCCTGAGCAGCACAGGAGCAGCACTGACGTCCAGGCTGTGCTTCTCCACGGGATTTCTCCACCACCAGGAAGGGTGGGTCGGATCAGTGATGGCATCAGCAGGCCCAGGGTCTGTGGAGCCCTCAGTACAGCTTGCTTTTCAGAAGCTGTGTCAGTGCTGGCCAGCCTAGCATGTTGTTGGGAGAAGGAGGTGACCAGGACTTGGTCTCTGCTGGTGCAGACGCCACATCCTGCGGCCCCACCAGGGTCTGGTGACACTGGACATAGAGCCACTGGGTGCCCAGTCAGTCCCGGCTGGGCTTGGGGGTGACTCTAAAGCACGCAGGACACAGATGTTGACTTGAGTCTGGGTGCAGCAGCACAGCACATGGCGCTTGGTGCAGCTCCTCATTCGCTTCGGAGGCCCATCCCAGGTGTTTGCACAAACCTACATGGCACAGGTCGGTGGCCTCTTGATGCCATCAAGGGACAGAGTGAACACTTGGTGTATGAGGCCCCAGCTGGTGCAATAGGCCATGCTGTTTTAAAGCAGATTTAATGATAGAGTACGTTTTTTTTGAGACGGGGTCTTGCTATTTGTAGTTCAGGCTGGTCTTCAACTAACTATGTAGCCCAGGCTGGCTCGAGCTTGTGGCAATCCTGCCTCAGCCGTCTGGGTGCTGGGGTTTCAGGCTTGTGCCACCATGCTCTGCCTGGAAAGAGCACACTCTAATAAGTAGTTTATGAAATGCAAAGCGAGAAGTCATTTGCCATCATTGTCAGGTATTATGTACCGTGCGATCTTGTATAGCTGTACTTTCGGCTGGCAGTGCAGTAGGTGTGTCTCTCCAGCACCATCCTTCGCACCTGAGCAGTGCATTCTGCTCTGATGTTACACCAGTGACACCACCAGTGTAGGAGTGTGTCGGCTCCCGTAGTCTTGGGGGATGCTGTCTGGTTGGGTGGAGTGTTGTGCTGTGCATGACTGCAGGTGCAGAGCGTTACCAAAATCTAGCAGCAGGAAGAGGAAAGGGCAGAAGGTGGCTCTGTGGTGTGGTAAGGGCAACCTGGGCTTTGAGGAGAGAATGGAGAGGGTGCATCTGGAAAGCCACCACAGATGTCTGGGATACAGGACTGGACGCTGCCATGCTGGGGTTCACCCAGCAGTAACAGGCATTTTCCAGTGCCTATTTCGTCCTTGATTACAGTGACAGCCTTGTTTGTGTCAGGTACTGGTGTGATGCTTTATAGTTCACACGTTTCATCTGCATGGGAGACTTGTGACAAGCCCTGGTCTACAGGAGCAGGCAAAGTACACACAGGCGAAGGAAGTGGCCCACGGTCATGCAGTAAGCGGCACAGCCCAGATTGAATCACTCTTGCACCTGCTCACTAGCAGCCCCTTTGGAACTGGGATCTCCGCATGGCACCTAACTGGGTGCTAGTTTTTTGGATTTTGAATGTCCCCTAAGGGTCAGGTGTTCAAGGCTTGGGGCCCAGCCCTTGGTGTTCCTGGGAGGAGGTGGGGGCCTGGTGGTAGATCAGGTCACTGGTCCATGCCCTGGAAGAGGACCTGGGACTACCCCTTCTCTACCTCTCCTGTGTGCTGCCCTCCCTGCCATCTGGCTCGCCACCAGCTGGGGCAGCAGAGCACCTCTGAGACGGTGAGTGAGGATATTTCTTCCCTAAGGCATGATCGTCTTGGGTGCTTTGTCACAGCAGTGGGAGGTTGCCTGACACCCTGGGCTGTAAGGCTTTAAAAGCTACCACGCGGAATCTCAACTGTCCATTTCACAAAGCTTACTCACTTCTGCAAGCCAGAGAGCTCCTGGGCCACAGGCTTCATTCTGTTTTCTGTCCACCTGGTGACACCTTTTTATCTGTGGCTGAGGTTCAAGCTGGACGTGGGCTTTGCAGTAGGACAGACAGGAAAACAAAATGGTCTGCTGTGGGAAAGTCTGCATCCTGAGTCATCCATCCCTGGTCAGTAAAGGTGGCATGACTTCCTTAGCTAATGTAGGCACTGGCCTTCAGACACAGTCTCTAGTGGTTGTACATTTTAGTTTATCATTTGTTTAATTCTTTTATGTTTTTTTTTTGGTACTAGAAATCAAACTCAACACCTTGCGCTTGCCAGGCAGGCGCTGTGCTCCTGAGCTTTATCCCCACCCGCATTTGTTTAGTTCTTACAGAACATTAAAAAAGATTTATCCCCGTTTTCTAGATGTTGGAAATAAAATTCAGAAAAATTAGTTTCATGCACTTCCTGTCCAGTGAGTGCTGCCTGGGAGCACTCTTCACCTCGCGAGTCTCTCCTCCGGAGGTCTCCCGGTTCATCAGGAAGTGCAGCAGGCCCAGGCTCTGCGGCTGCTCCCTTACCTCCGTTTAGGCTGCGCTACGCTGCTCCCCCTGCAGGCGCAGACTTGCACTGCAGGTGTGAAGCCCATTTTTCATAAGCAGGAAACACCTTTGTGAGCTGTTCCATGTCACTGGTGAGGGATGGCTGGCATTCGGCCATGAAGGTGACAGTCCGAAGTGGGGGAGATAACATATTGTTTTCCTGGGGTCTTTTCCAAGTGGCTGGCTAGATAGGCTTAGCAAAAGAAAGGGAGCCAGGTTACTTTGCATGTGCAAGTTGCAGGGTGCACATAGTGCATTTCCCATCAGGAAAAGGGCAGCCCAATCCATACATTCAGCTGTATTTGTTTCCCACAAGACTTGTAGAATTCTTTGTAGTTCTCTTTAGAACATCACTGGTATTTTGATGGGGGTTGCAATGAATCTGCATAGATTGCTTTGAGTAGTCTGGACATTTTAACAGTAATTCATTCTTCCAACCAACCCATGAACATGGAGTTTTCCTACTTTTGGTGTCTTCAATTTCTTTCATCAGTACTTTGTAACTTTATTGTAGTTTTTACTTCCTTAATTTATTCCTAGGTATTTTTGTATAGCTATTGTAAATGGGATTGCATTTATGATTTTCCTCAACATATTAATATACAGAAAACTATTTTGTATGTTGATTTTTGTGTCCTACTACTTAATGGAATTCATTTAACAGTTGTCTTTGGTGGAGTCTTTAGGCTTTTCTATGTACAGAATCTTATCATTTGCAAATGGGATAACCTGGGTTCCCATTTATCCTTTTTCTTGTCGCACTGCTGTGGTCACATTTCTTTTTTTTCGTCTTTGAGACAGGGTCTCACTATACAGTTCAGGCTGGCCTTGAGCTCACTTTGTAGCCCAGGGTGGTCTCGAACTCACAACGATCCTCCTGCCTCAGCCTCCCGAGTGCTGCGATTACAGGCATGCACCACCACGCCCGGCTCACAGTTTCTAATTGTATATTGAGTAAGCAGTGACATCTTCATCTTGTGGCTGACCTCAGGAGAAATGCTTCGTTTTCCTTTTAGGATGCTGTTGGCTGTACTTCTGCCACAACAGCCTTTACTGTGGTATAAGCCTCCTATACCCCGTATGTTCAGGGCTTTTATCATCAAGGGTGGTTAAATTTTATCTAATACTCTCCCTACGTCTACTGAGATGATCACATTTTTATCCTTCATTCTACTTACGTTACTTTTATTCATTTGCACATGTTGAGCCATCTTTGCATCTCTGGAATGAAACCAACTTGATTGTGCCGTTGAGTTCAATTGCTAGTGTTTTTGGGGGGATTTTGCATGTATAAGTTCATCAGGGATCTTGGTTTGTAGTTTGCCTGTTTTGTTGTTCAGATTTGGTAAGAGTGGTGTTATATAGAATGAGTTTGGAAGGGAAAATCTCTCTCCCTTTCAGTTCTGCAGACTTGTCAGAGAACACTGGTGCTCTTCAAACCTGGCACTACTCCGCAGTGAAGGTGCCTAATCCTGGGCTGCTTCTTGTGATTGCTGCTGTTACTTCGGAATCATCTAGAACACTGGTTCCCAACCATCTTGATACCAGGACTCAGTTTTGTGGAGGTTTTTCTAGGGACACGGCAGTGGGGCGTGGTGGTGGTGTGTCCGGGGAAGGCTCAAGGGCATTCTATTTACTGTGCACTTTATTTCTGTTACGTTGGATTCTCGTAAGGAGTGTGCTAGCTTGATCCTCGCCTGCAGTTTACTGCAGGGTTCTCGAGCCTTTGAGAATCTAACTCCCTGCTGATCTGACAGATGGTGCTCAGGCGGCGGCGGAGGTGCCAGGAGCAGCTGCAGACACAGATGAAGCTCACCCCCTGCTGTGCAGCCCAGTTCTTAACAGCCCCACAGCCTGGAGTTCGGGACCCCGGATCTAGAGCTTACTTCAGTATCTGATCATATGTCAAACCAAAGCAAAGAAACTGTATTTACTCCATCCTTCAGTCTGCTGCCCGTGGTGAACCAAAGTAGCAAGCCCTTTACACTAGCATGGTGTGTGCAGCACCATTCTTACAGGTTAGGGCTGGGTCTCCTAAGTCAGACTACATCTACTGCCCGTTAACGTTCACATGCAGCAGGAAGACACTGCAGTCAGGACTGAACCGCTGGGTGGAGAGCGAAGACTCAGACTCATGTCCCCTGCCTCGACCGGCACTAGGCACAGCAGGCCTCCCGTGTCTGGAAACGAACGCCTCTTCCTGCTAGCTGCGCTGGGGAGAAAAAGCGTGGTCCTTTTACATTATTTACCAAACTGTAAGAGCACCCACTGAGAACATTTAAAATCATGAGCATTAACTTGAGAACAGCAGAGAAAGTCTATAAGGCGCCTGCTTCTGTTCTGGGGCTCCTGTGTAATCGACAAACCCCCACCTCCTGGGCATAGTTTTACACATTAACATCACAGGATTTTCCCTCTTTAAAGTTCTAAAGCCTGTGTGGTGGCGCACACTGGGATTCCAGCTACTTGGGAGGCTGAGGCAGCACTACTTGGGCCCAGGAGTTTGAAGCCAGCCTGGGCAACAAAATAATTTTGTTTCAAAAAAAAAAAAAAACTTTTTTTATAGGTTGCTACCTACTTTATAAACCTGGATTTATTGTGACAGCATGTCAAAGAATTAAGTAGTTTAAAAACATTTTCAAAATTAGACCGTTTTCAAGAAACACAAGGACCCAAGACAGTGCCCATGCGAGTCAAGCGCAAAGCCCAGCTGTGTCGATACCCGCTAGAGTGGACAGCAGCCAGCGAGGTGAACCCGCTGTCCCTCCTGCCCTTGGTGCCGCAGCCCGCCCTGCAGCCTTGGTCAAGGACACAAGCTGGTGCGGCGTGAGCTCCACTAGGACTCCATCGGGGTCTCTGCGCTCCTGCCCCTCAAAGGGCCGCCAACAGCTGAGCTTCTTGAACTGCTCAGAACGAGCCGCTCTCGTCTTCCGAATGCTTCATTTACTAAACAGTGAAGAAGTTGTTAGGATGGAAAGCATGCAAACGTACTTAACACTTTATCAATGCGAAAACAAGCAACTTGGCAGCCTAAGTTAACGTGTTGGATGAGGTAGATTTTTTTAATCATCTGTTCTGCTTGTACTTTACCTTGCCTTGTCCTAGATTTATCTAACCTGCCCCGGTAACAGGTGTTCCACCACCCGCAAACCACCGACTCTGCCCTTTTCTCACTCTACTTTGACTGTTTTCTGTTTTCCTTCATCTTGCCTGGAATCATAACCAGCATACAACTTTCTGGATTTCAGGCCCTTCATGTGTGAGTTAAAATCAGAACTACCCAGTGATAGCCGCAGGACCCTTCTGTGGGGTAGGATTCAGGAATCATGGTAGGGATGTTTTCTCTCTGTTTACAGGACACCAGACTTGCTCAAAAACGTAACAAGCAGCTAGGCCAGTGGTGGCGAACCTGTGGCTCGTGAGCTGCAGGCAGCCGTTTGTGTCACTGGAAGCCCACAAGGTTTGCCATCACTGAGCCAGGAGCTCCAGGTCTTGCAGACAGAAGTTGAAAAAGGACAGATCTGTTTACATAGTCACTGGGAAGGGAGGGCTGTTCTCCTCTGAGACTTGTTACACTTCCTTCTGGCTTCCCTAGAAGACCTGTCAATTTTAGGACACTATAAAATAACCTACACCTGAAGTGTGAAGACAGAGCTGTGTGCGCGAATGTCTCTGGGCACTGCACCTACTATGGGGCAGCCTGCGTCCGCCCTGCTTGCTGCCTCCTGTCTCTCAGTCTCACGCTGCGTTACCTCCAGAGCCTTTCCACCAGAGCAGGGAACAGAAGGGCCTCACCTGAAGAGACGGTGCTGATGTCCCACACCCGCAGGCCTTCCTTCTGACCCCCGAAGGCATAAACAAATGGCAAATCAGGGCAACACGAGGAACAGAAGAGAACACCCTGGGGAGAGGACAGGGGTCAGTGATTTCCACCCTCCCAGACAGCTGCAGACCCTACCTGGTCTCTAGGAACTTCCGGTCGTATGGTTCCCCAGAGCCAGGGCACTGCAGGCAAAGGCGGACAGTGACACATGGGGTGAGCTCAGCACGCTCCGAACACCCGGGGGCTCACCTCCATCGTTCTCTTAGAAATCTCATCTGCCATGTCTCCAGAAACCGCAACACTTCTCCTCCACAGTGACAGTGACACCACAGGTCACTCACAGTAGCCTGTTACGCTGCCGAGAATCAAACCTCAGGGCCTCCCGCGTGCCAGGCAAGGCTTTACCCCGGGCCACATTCCCATCCTTTGCATCATTTAAAAACTTTTAATATTTTCATTACTGGATATACATACGGATTATAGAAAATATGAACAGGAAAAAAGTCTCAGTGAGATAACCACTGTTCATGTTTGGGGATTTAAATATAAGCATGGGAAAGTACTATAAAGATAACTCGTCTAGCCTGCTTTTCCATAGCTGAATAAATACATGCAGTTTTAACAGCTGTGTGAGCCGGGTGTGGTGGCACACGCCTGAATCCCAGCGCTGGGGAGGCTGAGGCAGGAGGATCATTGCAAGTTCGAGACCAGCCTGGGCTACAAAGTGAGCTCAAGGCCAGCCTGAACTGCATAGTGAGACCTTGTCTCAAAAGGACAAAAAAACAAAACAAAACAAAACAAAAAAAACCCAGCTGTGTCTTCTAAGCTACAGTCTAAGTAACAGTGCCTGACATAAAATAGGTACTCAGAATCTGCTGAAAGAATCCCTGTTGTTGCTAAACTTTGCTAAGACATATGCTAAAATTAACTTCAGTGCAGTCAGAAGCAGTTTTGTAACGAGGCTGTGACAGATAAATACTCAGCCCCCAATGGCTCTGGCTCCCTGATGTTACGACCAAAATGTGGCCCTTCCTGTGTCTTCTTCTAACCTTCACGATCTCACCAAGCAACTCAATCGTGTGCACTGGAAATAGAGGCAGAGGTCCCAGAATCCTCTCACACCCCTCACAAGTTGAGACGTGCCGCCAAACCTGACGAAACCCAAACGACCCCCATATTCCTTAAAGCAGTGACTTCCAGGACAGACGAGCAGTGCCAGCTCATACACACAGAGCAGACAACATGGGGCCCTCACCATCTTCATGTCCCTGGAGTGGATGAGACTCGGCCTGTCGCCCAGGATGTCCCAGATCTTCACGTACTTGTCCGCTGACGCAGTCACCAGGCAGCCCTTGATCTGACTGCTCAGCTCGAGCCCTGGGGAGGAACAGTGGCTCAGACTCACTGGCACGGGCTCTGTGTCTCGAGCTTCCGCCGGGAAGGGGAACAGCACTGGAGCTCACCAGAGATCTCGTCGTTGTGTGCATTGAGTGTGAACACCGGCTTATCTGACCGTGCGTCCAAATCGTACACGAAGCCGTCGTCAGTGCTCACCTGGAAGAGGGAGAGGCGAGATCACGTCTGGGACGATGGCGTCACAACGGCAAGCGAGACCAGTTCCCTGGGACTCCTGCGGCACCAGTCCCATGCACTGTCACCAGGGATCGCTTCCGCGTGAGCCGGGCGGCACTGAGGCGGGAGTCCATCAGTCCGCAGCATGGGAGGGCGATGCTGCAGCGAGCACGGTGGAATGGCTCACAGGCCAGGGCAGAAGCCAGGCCAGGGAGGAGACAGGGACACTTGAGGCACATCTGAAGGTCAGGCTGGGAATGGGCCACACGTGGATGAAGAAGGAGGGGACACTCCCACTTCCCCACAGTTTGTGGCTTTCCCTCTCTGAGCACTTGTCTGTGAGTAACGGCAGAAACGTGGTCTGACGGCTGAGAGCCAGGACGGCCCTTGCAGCCGCACCTTCCCGCACGCAAACGTGGGGCCTGGCTCAGGGGTGCTCGCTGGCTGCTTCCTGTGCCTGAGACGCCGGGCTGCGGCTAAGGACTCTCAGCGCCATTGTGCCAGGAGCTCACTGAACCCGTCTCATCGTCAGGAAAGAGCTGGCCAACACTGCCCATCTGCGGGGCACCACACAGGACTCCTCCGCCCCCAGACGGAAGCTGCACGTCACTTCTCCTGAGTCTCAGGGTGCTCCGGCGGGGACCGCTACCCTGCAGGCTGGACGGGTGTCCAGAAAGCTCTGAGCCTTTTTCCATGCCCTCCCACCAGAACCCCATGCAGGACAGAGACCTGGAGAGAAGGAGGTCCGTCCCCTGGAGCTGGTCAGACCGCCAAGTAAGACAAAGGCCCAGCAGCTGTGCCGGGTATCTCCAACAACACTCACAGGACGATCAGCAAGTGATGGGGGTTCGGCACACTCCACATGGCTGGCGATCAGCAAAATCGTTCACAAAGCCACCGTGTGTGTGTGTGTGTGTGTGTGTGTGTGTGTGTGTGTGTGTGGCTAAGCCACTGTCTTGTTAAAAAAATCCAACCTCTTTTCAGTCATAAACTCCACACACACAAAGCACTCTTCACACAGAAAAGGCGTTGCAGGGCCCCCTGCTGCCATGACACTAGGGTAAGGAAGTTGTTAGAGATCTAGAACGGTGGAATGGTGACACACGTGTTCTTACCAGAAAGTGACAGGGGGAGAAGGGGTTCCACGTCACCCGCTCGATCTGCCCGCTGAACCGCCACACGCGGTGGGTCTCATCTGGACTCCGACAGTCATACAGCGCCACGGACCTGGACACAGCGGGCAGTGAGGGCTGGGGACCAGCGCTCCTGTCTCTTATTTGTTTAATGAGGCCAAAATTCAGTTACTTAAAGCCTGTTTGAAGGTTCTAAGATAAAGTAGGGAAAAACAAGTTGATTTTCCCTGCTTGGTGACACTGGTGCTGTCACCTGCAGGCAGTGGTGGCCCTGGTGGGGTGGTGACCTTGACCTCCTGCAGAGGCGTCCAGGCCGTTCCTCACTCCCCTCCCTTGTGGGCTCAGAGCCACACGACTCACGTCCCCGCCCTCAGCAGCCTCCAGAGTGGGGCGGCTGAGCTGTGTGATCTGGCAGGGTGGCATCTCCAAGGGCCAACTCAGCGCCTTCACAAGCGTGAGGGATGTAAGCGCCGTCAGTGGGTCCAGCTCCTCTTGCTGTTTCCCACTGCAGGCCCAGCGTGGACAGAGGCGCACACAGGCCCGGAATGAGACTCATGGGAAAGAAGGCCTCTCTGGCCCCACTGCCCCAGTTCTCAGTCCAGTGCCGTGGGCCGTGGTGCCTCTGCTCACCCGACGCAGTGCTGTGAGATCACGTGCGGGCCACCCTGCTCTCGGAAGGGGCGGCAAACCAGGAACAGAGCCACATCTGTCTGCACGGCCGGAAGGGCCAGTGTGGGCACAGCTGCCAGGAGGATCCGGCCGCACCCGCTCAGCCTCACAGGCACAAGAAACACGCGCAGGTCTTAAGCCTTTCCGTTCTGGGATGGCCTGTCTCACAGGCAGGCTAACGCAAGGCTAACACCTTGTGAAAATCAGAGCTGCCAGCAACTCAGACCCGACCTCCAAAGAAAGAAAATCAAAGCTGCAACTCTGAGGGCCACCATTATCACATCACCTTTCCCTCCAGACTGAAAGGAAGGCCACAGGCGAGAAGGGGAACGAAGCTGCGCACAACTTTTAAATCATGCGGCGCCTCCATCCGGCTCCAGTCTGGGCCCCAGCGACACTTCTTTTTTTTTTTTTTTGGTTTTTCTCCAGTACCAGGAACTGGACTCATGACCTTGCGCTTGCCAGGCAGGCGCTGTGCCACTGAGCTAAATCCCCAGCCCCTTTTTTTTTTTTTTTTTTGGTTCCCAGCGACACTTCTAAACCAGGTCAAGAGGACGAACTCAAGCAGCAGCACGGCCAGAAGTGCTTCCTTACTTATCATAGGATCCAGAGATCAGAGTCTGGGCTTCGAATGGGTGAAACTGCAGCGTCTGTACCTGAGGAAGGAAAAACAAACGCCTAGATCTAGCACTGTCTGCTTTGACTAACATCACCCAGTATGCGGTGAGAGCAGATCTGCTCGTGTTTTTACAAATGCTTCCCTCTGAAATTCAGCACCATGTAAAGAAACAAATGACACCACTGAGGGAGGCTGAGGCGGGAGGACCACCAACTTGAGTCCAGCCTGGGCAGCTCAGTGAGACCTTGCCAGCAAATAAAAAAAAGGGCCTGGAGATGAAGTTCGGTGCAAAGGCCTTAGGTTCAGTCTCCAGTACTGAAAAAACAATACAGCAAGAAATGCATGACGCATTCAAAAAAGCAAACCGTATTTCTAACTCAAGGCTACACTTCAAGTGCGGCACCCGAACTGTGTCTGCTGGATGCCTCCATCCCTCAGTGTTCAAAGCAAGCCAAGGACTCTGCGCAGTTGCCGACATCCTCTCCCCGGTCCCGGAGGAGCTGCGCATTGCTGCACGGCCCACACTGGCTCCGCGTTGCTAGGGTTAGGGTGGTGCCCGCCACCCAGGGCTTGAGAAGACCCAGTGAGCCAGTGCGTGAAAACACTTTCTGAGACTGAACTCAGAACCTTTACACCGGGCTTTACCCCTGCACTCAAGATGGGGTCTCACTAAGTCACTGTGTTGTGCAGGCTGGGCTGTAATCCCCCTGCCTCAGCCTTCCAGGGTGTTGGGAGTATAGGGAGGTGCTATCACACCCAGTTATGAAAGCACTTTGTAAACAATAAAAAGCTGTATGTAAACACCTGGGACTCTTTAGTCAGCATCTGTCCCAGGAGTCTTACCCTGTCTGCCATACGTACCTTGTCTGCGTGTACGGCGAGGCTGGCTGCGGGCTTCCCCAGGGACATGTCCCACAGAATGACGGTGCCGTCAGCAGACGCGCTTGCCAGCACATTCCTGAGAGGGAAAAACAAGTCAGACTACCTTTTACAACCAGAAGCATTAAAAGGACTCCCTTTACAACAGCATGGAAAAGAATAAACTCTTAGGAATGAATTTAACTAAAGAAACCCAAGACTTACATAGCGAAAACTACCAACGCTTATCAAGAGAAGTGAGCGACTAAGTGCAAAGTCACACCATGTTCTGCACTGGAAGACTTCATTCTCCTCAGACAAACAGCATCTAGAGTGAACCGATCGGCTCAGAATCCCAGATGTTCAAGGAGAGGGACAAGCTGATCCTACAGTTCACAGGGAAAGGCCAGAGTGGCCAAAAGAAACCTTGGAAGAGAAGAGCAAAGCTGGGAAGCTCATCCTTCCCGATTTCAAAATGTCCTGAAAGGGCAGTGTGATCACAGCAACGTGCGCCGCAGGAGAAAAGACAGGGCACAGAACGAAGAGGCCAGGAGAATCCCTTGGTACTTCTGAGTTCTGACGAAATGACCTCAGGCTGAGGTGGTTTCTCAGACACACACAACAAAAATACACTGGCCATCATTACCAACATGAAAAATGTGTGCCGCCAATGATTCTACGAGAAAGTAAACGACAACCCACAGAGTGGGAGAAAAAAACAGCAAGTCACATTTCTGATTAGATATGAAGATGTAGAATATAGAATGAGTTCCAACAACTGAATTAAAAAATGGGGAAACGCCTTAAATAGGAATCATGCATAAAGAAGACATACAAGGGCCGATAATCAGAGACATGCAAATCAAAAGCACATTCAGGGAACATGTCATACCGGTACAAAAGGATGGCTACTATGAAAAAGAGGGAAAAGAAACATCAAGGGTGTGGAGAAGTCCTTGTGTGCACTGCCAGTGGGGACATAAAAAAGTGCAGTCGCCATGGAAAACGGAGACGGGACCTCAAAAACTTAGAGCTACTGTAAGGCCCAGCAGCGACAGCAGTGACAGTCCTGGGATCCACCGGCAGCAGGTCATTACACCAGCAGCTAGCTAATGGGTGGGAGCAGCCCCTGAACACCCGCTGGTGCGTGCAGACAGCGGGGTGCATGATGTGTCCCAACACGGACGAGCGCTGAGTACATTATGCTCACTGCAGCAAGCTGGTCCCAAGGAACAAGCACTGTATGCTTTCAACCACGAGAAACAGTAGGGCAGTCACCTTCGTGGGTCGGAAGACAGCGTGGCGGATGTCACGGCTGGGAGCAAGAGAGGGGAGTTGGTTTTCAATGTTCACATCTTCCCTTTGGGAAGATGAAGCTCGGGTGGTAGACGGTGACGACAGCGGTACAATGTGGACACATTGTACTTACAATGGTGACAGTGGTCATCTCTGAATTTTGTATTTTACCATAATTTAAAGGAGAAAAAAAAAAAGTATATGACTGAGACATGAGGGAAGCGGGAAGACTCCCACGGGAGGGAGCACAGCCCCGGGAGCACCGCTCCGCGCAGCACTGAGCACCCTGCACGCCCAGAGCAGCACTGGGGTGTGGCGCTGGCTGGCAGGCAGGGACAGACAGCAGCGCTGCGGACCCAGCAGCACACACAGCATCCCTAGGGCAGAGAAGCAGGTGGACAGAGGCCCACAGCACACAGGGCGGGAGGCGTAGGTACAGTGTTCCAAGGCCATGCTACTGCAGGCTTTCAGAACCTGCCAGTGCCATTTTTCTTACCTGGTTAGCTTATTCCACGAGAGGTCAAGGACGGCATCCGTGTGCCCTTCTATGAGGGGACTCTGTAATGATCGCTTGATTACTTCTTATGCCAAAGTAAGAAACGGTTCATTTCCAAGGTCAATGCCACAAGGCGAGCTTGCTGTGGAATGCGCACTGCCCCGTTACCTTAGATGAGTACTCTCCGCGGGACAAAGCAGAGTCCTTAATCTTGGCGCTCACCTCCCACGTGTCTGTCCTGCCCCCAGGCCCCTGAACCTAACAATCTAGGCTGCAGGAAGACAGGGCTATTGAGAACCCGAACCTCAACAGGCCGAGTGCAAGTGCTGTCCTGTACCCCACCTGCCCATACCCTAACCTCCCTCTGCCTTAGAGCGCAGATGTTCCCCTACTCCCGTACCTTTTTTCCTTTCTTCTTCTTCTTTTTAGAGAGCTTACTTCCAAGTGTGAAAACTGGCTCCAAAGAGTCCACAATATCAAGGTCCCATACTTCAATGACAGGGGTCATAGTTCCCACAGCAATGTAATTTCCTATAGAGGCAAAGAGCTTTGGGTTACTTAAAATGGAAAAAAAAGAACAAAGAACTAATCAGACACACTAATCAGGATCCACTGTAGGCTCAGCGAGCAGTGCTCAGAGAGTGCTTCCTGCCCTCGTCCATGCAGCGCCGGAGGCTGCCACCGGGCAGGGTCCAGCTCAGGGCCCCAGTGCGCTGAGGACAACTGAAGAGCACGGGCGGGCGTCACCTCGGGCCTCCAAGTTCCCATCTACATAATAAGGACCAGGACTGGCCACTCGCCCACCTGCCTTCTTCACAGACCTTTCAGACCGAGACTGTGTAGAAGCTTTGCAAACAAGACAAAGGTGTCAACATTATCAGTGTTCACCTTCACTAGCACTGCGCAGAGGTGGCTGCAAAAGCTAATACAACAATCTAATTGTTTGTGACAAGCCTCTTTATTTTAGCTGTACCTGATGTTTTTTGTCAAATAGGCTATGCCACTGAACTCTAGCTGGATGCTTCAGACCATCCCGCCGCCCTGTACTGGGTTTTCATGGGGCGCTAAGAGTGTCAAGTCCAAGGCCCTGTCTTGCAGCCTGCAGAGGAACAGTGTCCTCCCAGCTTACCTGAGGCCTGGGGAGACACGGACCCCAACGATGACACCATGGTGTGTTCAGAACTACACGATTACAGCTTCACAAAGTGACAGCAACTTCGACACGTCAGCAGCAGTTCTGAACACACAAGGGACGGAGTCTGCAGCACTGTGAAGGGGACCACTGAACAATCTCAGGTTTTCTAATTACCAGTGGAATCATCTGGGCTAGGATCAAAGTTCAGCCACTCCACACTCAGAGGATATGCAGACAAGAGGATGTCATGGTGCACGTAGAACGAGTCTTCCTCCTGGTTGTAAACTGAGAACAATGGGAAGAGACTTCAGCCCAAGTAAGAGCCATCAGAAGTTACATGAAACCACTGTACTTTACTTCCTTCTTTTCTCCTCTCTTTCGTTTTCTTTTCTTTTTCCAAGTTAGGTCATTATAGATATCATTTATTAACAGAACACTACTAAAATAAGACACATGTGATGACACTAAAAACCAATGCCAGTCATTACTGCCAGGTAAAATTTCTGCATGTCTAATACTCCCAGCACGTGGCATGCCCCAAAGTGGAACACAGGCACTGACCGACTCTACCCTGCAACATCTCCCCCAGGTGAGGGGCTCCAGGTCCCATGCGTTACAGCAGGCAAGTACAGACAGAACGGCCTCCTCAGTACTGCCATTTTATCTTCTAAGGGTCCTGCTAATTATCAGTCAGACTGAACAAACAAAAATCACTGGGGAAAAGCAATTCATATTTAAAAATCTAAACGCTTGCCAAGCTGGGTGTGGTGGCTCATGCCTATAATCCCAGTACTCCAGAGGCTGAGGCAGGAGGATTGCTTCAAGTTCAAGGCCAGCCTTGGCTACACAGTGAGGTGAACTACATAGTGAGATTATCTCAAAATAAAAAACACAACCAAACCAAACCAAACTCGCAAAAACCCGAAAATAAATGCTTACCAAGAATTTGTTCTTCTTTAATATTTAAAAAACAGTTTACAAAGACCAACAACATGACTGGGAAATGAAACCCATGGGGACAGTCTTCCTGAATTTAACAACTAACAGACCTGGGTAGTTAACATTCAGTTACAAAGGAGCAAACTACATTTAAATCAATGACTGTGAGATCTTAACACTAATACAGCCCAATAACCAGAATCTCCCTTCTTCACCTCCCACAAACATGCTCTTTTATTAAGAATGTAGCAAATAATAAAATAAGCTGAAGATTTTTTTTTCAGTTCTTTGCCTCTCTCCTTCTGGAACAGATCCTGGGAGTAGCAAATTTCTTATAAAGTTCTGTCATCTCAGTCTACGATGAGAATGCATGTTCAGATGGTCAAACCCTCAACCATGTTCAGTGTACTTCATTTACACATTAAGTAAAGCTGGTGATGGTATTTTAAAACATACTGTTAACCATATCAGAGCGACAGCCTGGTCAGCTTTAGAGAACAACTGTGAAGTTGAATCACACGCTGGGTGATTCTCTCAAACCCAAATAATAAATGATACCTATAATGACCTAACTCAGGAGGAAGTGGAAATACAATTGTTTCATTTCATTTTTTTCTCAGTTCCTGACACTGAGTTCCATGCAATGACTCTAATGCTGTAATGCTCTCAGATGAAAATGATGACAAAACAAGTGTAATAAGGTTTTAGTATTCTGAAATTAGAACTGGTCTTAGGGGCTGGGGATTTAGCTCGGCTGCACAGCACCTGCCTGGCAAGTGCAAGGTCATGAGTTCGATTCCCGGTACCGGAAAAAAAAAACCAAAAAAAAAAAAGTTAATTAGAACTGGTCTTAAAATTAACGAACATGCTTCTCACCCAAAATATATAAATGTTCAAAGATAATAAGACTTCAGAGAGAATAACTTTACATTATAGTGCCTGCTACTGAAAGTCTTTTTTCTTTTAAGAAAAATTTCCTAAGTGGATCACAATGAGCCTAAGCGGGCCTAATCTACAGGCTTTCCACAGGTGGCCTTGGAGGTCTTTAAGTTTCAGAAATCCAGGCTCAGAAATGGAACACAGCTCAGTGGTAAGCAATCTCCTCGCACAAATAAGGCCCTGGGTTAGGTGCCCAGCGCCTCAAAAATAAATAAATAAATAAGTAAAAATTCTGATTGAAAACTTCAAATCACTGCTTACTTTGGATGTCAGCAGAGCACTCACTTCTGGCAGTGGTACAAACATTTCCTGAGCTAGGAAAGATGACCAAGATCTGTTGGCTGCAAAAGAAAACTCTAGCTCTCTGGGCTGAATTATTATGGGGAAAGTACAAAAGGAAATGCCTAAAATAACTGAAAAAAAGCAAGATAAAAACCCGACTACTCAGCATAATCTTAATCACATAGAATGTGTCCAAAAAAATTGAGGAGTGAAAAAACAGGGTGGCAAATGACCAGCTCAGGGTCATAGGATTACACATTTTTCTTATATTTTTAATACAGTTTTACTTCCAGGTTTCCATATTGGAGAGGGGAAAAAAAATGAAAAACTGGTGAATGTGTTTAAAGAAAAGTGTTCAGAAGGTCCTAGGGAGCCTATTTATTGCCATAAAAAAGGTCAGGTACCAAAACTATAGCTGGGATTACACATATGCAAAACAATGACCAGGAAACAACCTACATAAAATTCACCTGCATAGCCAACCCAAGGGAGGTGCAGCAAGATCTGCACCAAAAGTTCCCGCCAGAGTAACTATGCGGTCAGTTTAGCATCATCTAGAAAACCAGTCAGCACAGACATGCTGTACTTACTATGCACCTCTAAATTGCACTGCTCCTGCTCAGCTCGGCCACAGACTATGAGATTGTCACTAGGCTTGATCAGGAAATCTTCTCGTTCATATTGTTCCTGTGTGGACAGGCCAAAGGTCGCTGGTTAGAGGGAGAAATCCAGCCAGGTTTTCAGACAGGAAGGAGCGTGATTGAGAAAGCGATGTAGTAATTTACCGTATCTTTCAGAGTAACATAGGGATCTTGATCGTTGCTCCCATAGACTGTAAGCCCCAAAAGAGATTCTCCAAGAGTCTCGGCATCTGTACAAATTTACCAATCAAAATGAATACAACAGTCCTCTTGACAAAAACATTTTCCTAAGAAATTGCTCTTTAGACTGCAATCCAGCTGGTACCTATTTTATAGGTAACTATGAATCATCCACAGTTGGGAAAGGAAAGAGGGCAGGAATTTATGAGCCATTCACACTTCACCTTTCAAATGTACTTCTGATAGGCTTGCAAACTTACTTGATGATAGAATTCTTTTTTTTTTTTTTTTTTTTGATGATAGCTTTTGTGTTTGTTTGTTTGGTTTTTTTCCGGTACCAGGAATCGAACTCACGACCTTGCATTTGCCAGGCAGGCACTGTGCTGCTGAGCTAAATCCTCAGCCCTGATGATAGAATTCTCTTATGGCACATCTACAAGGGTAGCATCCGATAGACCCAGAGTACCGGACACTCAGGAAAAGGAAGCTACACTGCGCTGTTACAGGGAGGTCCTCCAGGGCGCAGGGCTAACACCTGACACACGCACAGAACCACTCTGGCAGCATAACAGAAGACTACAGAGGCACAGGTCCAGCCCTCACCAGCCCACTCGACATGTTTACACACACTTCCTTTCCCAAAAGGACAATATAGTTCTGGGAATATCTTCTCAGCTATTTCCCCCAAGATTTTTTCAGACCACCCAAGCCCTCTGCTCTATTTCCTTTTTCTCCTAGAAACTGGGGTCCTCTTTTTCCTCTGTAGCAGCAGTGTCTTAAATATACATAGCCTGAAAAATGTGGATGCCACCAAGGAAAAGGTATAAAAGTAAGTTGAGTATACTGTGATTGCACACAAGAATTCACAGTGGGCTACAGACGATTAAACCTCAAGTGTGCAGTGACAGACACGTACTATTTTTCCTAAGATCTCAGACTTACATCTTAGAGCAGGGCATTAGAGCTTCTCTTCTTAACTAATTTAGGAAACATGTTCTCTGTCCAGATTATATAACTGATAAAACTCACAGTAAAGCTCTGGGCACCACAAACATGGACTAGCACACCGAGCCTGTGATTACAAAACCAACAGAAGCGAGTATGTCTCACCTGGGTCGTCATCCTCATCGTACCTGTCCAGGTCGTATTCGGCCAGCTCATCATCATCCACTGTGCGGTCATCCTCAGGGTCACCATCCTCCAGGGGCTCCCTTGGTCGTGCCTGGGTCCGGGCACTCTGCATGCCATCTTCTGAAGGACTGCCTGCCTCCTCCTCATCGCTGCCACCTTCCTCTCTGTGAGAACAAAACAAGAAGAAAGAAATCACCCACACAGCACCTTTCAGTAAGGAGACCACCACGCATCACGATTTAAGATACACATTCCATCAGGACTGGACCACACACGGCAGCATTTCAAAACTTACTGTAACTTTTCCTTTGCTTCAGCAATGAGGCGTTTTACTTCATCTTTACTTAGCTCTACCTACAAGAGAACCAACACCGCATCACTGTATTTAATAAAATAACTGGAAGTCTTTGAGTCAAATAGGTTTGCAAACAAACGTAAAACAGACCTTTAAGAAACATCAAGCACCAACCCCGGCTCTGCGTGTAACGTAAGTGGAGCTTTCAGTGTGGCCATAACCCCGGTTCCCTCTGGGATGCCTCTCCCTTGCTTCCCTGTAGCGGCCCTTAACAAACCTCCCTTACTTTACTCCCTGTTCTTTTCTCTACTATTGCTGCCACGTACGCACTCCTGGGGTTCATATTCTTGCAAAGGCCATTCATTCTCAAGGCTAAAATCACTGCTTTTAAACTCATCCCTCGGGACTTCCTCCTCTGCTGATGTGCACTGCAGCTCCGCTCTCCCAACGGCCAGCATAATTTCCCACGGGGGCACCCCTGCCCCGAGGGAGTTCACCTCGCTTCGGAGCTGGCCGCCCACACCTTCAGTCCCTCTAAGACGGCCGCCGCCGCACCGCTGCGAGCCCTCTGGGGACAAGCCTGCCGGCACCGTCTCAAGCGCACAGCTCAGCGCGTGGCCGGTGCTTACAGAGACCGCGCAGCCGAGCGGCCGCCCAGGTCTCACCAGAAGCCTCCAGCCACGCCGAGACCCCCTCCGCAGGGACCCTGCACGGCGCGGCGGCGCAGAAACGGAAGGCGGGGCTTAACGAAGACGTATTTATTTGTCTAATTTCTGGTCCGAATAGTCCCTCTTCAGTAAGAGCCGTTTTCTACTTCAACGAACTTTCGGGTAACCTCCGTTACCTGCGCTAAAGCCTACACCGAGCGCACGCCGCGACCAGACGCCAGCAACGGCGAGGGAGCCGGCGGGCCCCGGGGGTCCCCCGCCCCGC